ATTCCCTCAGTAATGGGTAGCTTCATTTCCAGAATGACTGACTAGGGAAGAGATGAGAATTTTGAATCTACTGTTATCATTTATTTCTTGGAGCTAAACCAATAAGTCTAATAAGCTACCTGGAAGCAGATAATGAAAATTCTCTCTAATCAGAAGGCTACACATTTCATGAATATTGAATAAATTCTGGGTTAAAAGCTAACTACCTAGGCTTCCATAGTCACATTGGCAAGGGCAAACAACACTCATTCACATCTTCTCCACAAAGGGTTTATATCAGTTCCAGCTTTATTATTTTTTTACAATGATTTGTATGGGTATCATGTATAAAATAATATAATCGTTTTCCAGTAATAATTAAAATAAATGTGTTTCCTTTTTGCATATATGAACTTACCTATCTGTGACCTGGGACAGAATCCGGCCAGCAAGGAAAAGAACTGGGTCACAAGAAGGTCGATCAATAGAAGTATCTAGATAAGTTAAACATTTCAAACTTGCAAACTGCTTTTGTTATTGAGCTGATTGAGGGTCACTTACTCTTTTTTTATAACATGTTCAGAATAAAATGGAAAAAAAAATCAGATTGCCCCACTTCCCCATGCTTTCCCATAAGGGCAAAAACTCAAGCCTTGATATAATTAAGAACTAGAAGAACGTGCACATATAAAACCTGTATGGTGAACAAGTGAAAAAGCCATAACCTACATTTCCAAAGCTAGAAAACCTTGTAGCCAGAGGCCTTTGTTGTTTCATAGGTAACTACTACACTATGTAACCAAGATACTGTCCCAAAGTAGCACAATGAATTAAAGAGTCATAATATTTTTGTTAAAAATTAATGCAAAGTTAAAGATAGTGCAGAGGTCACTTGACAGCAAGTAAGTTTCAGGAATTTTTACATTGAGAGGTTTGAAGCTGTTATTCTAAGTGTGTGTGTGTGTGTGTGTGTGTGTGTGTGTGTGTGTGTGTGTCTGTGTCTGTGCGCGCATGCACGTGCGCACTCCAGTGCCCTAGGCAGGTTGCAACTGTTACAAAACACATCAAGAAGAGGGCAGAGTTCAAAATTTAAGTCTTTTCATTATCACAATTGACTATACATGTTCCCAAACACATATCACCTTTGTGTAAGTTTTAAACACAACCTTTTACTAACACAGGTGAAAGCAAATAGACAGCACCTGATTGGAAAATCATTCTGGAAATAATGTGCTTCAATGTGTAGCCATATACTGCTTTAGAGTAACATACATACAGATCCCAGTCAGATTAAGGGGCTTGGAGGGTGAAGTGGCCTTGATGTTCTCTTGATGTCTCTGAAACAGAGACCTCTTCAGTCATGTTGTGGCTGTCTCCAGGACACCCTGGGAAAGGATTCTTCTTCCAAGCTTAACCACAGATGTGGCTGTGTTCTTCCCAAAACATCACCTTTCAGCATTTCACTATTTTAGGACATTTTGTTAAAACATGATGATATTGGTGATATTCTCTCTGGAAAATAGTGATGAGGCATTTAACATGAGACAACTTTGATGTGCTCTGTTTAATCTTTATTTACGTAAATTAGACAGGTTTCTCTGTGTTGGTTGTCATCAATCTTTTGTTTTTCCTTATGACTGAATTTTAATTTCAACTAGGAACCTTGATAGGTGACAAATATCTGAGTTTTATATTTTCTAAAAAGACACAAAGTTTTAAGCATGGATAGGGCTTTTTTTAGGGCAATTTTTACACTTTCAGTAATTTGGTTCTGGGAATAGGAAACTGGCAAAGGCCTCTAAGAAAATGACAAAGTGTCTGTAGCAGAGATGAGACATTTAACTGAGATTTTTAAATATTATATTTCTTTTTTTTTCCCCATGAATACAGCTTTTGTTTGGTTTTGTAAATTCTCTGAGTTCTTTAAGGAAGAGAAAGTATGCCGAATGATTCCATTTGGCATCCGGAGTAGATTTTCTTCAGCACCACATGTATAAGCCTGGTTTTGTCAAAATCAAGAGATAGTATTAGAAATATTGCATCTTAAAACTCCAAACATGGTCTAGGCAGGTGCAAACAAGTTAATGCAGGAGTTTTAAAAATATTATTATTATTACTTTTAAGATTGAATATATTGAAGAGAAATGGTCAATATGAGGCTTGGGTGCCAGTCCTTTAGATTGAAATACAAGACAAGAACCCTTAAAATGTTGCTTAAAAATGTATGAAGTGTAAAAAAGAGAGTGAAGAAATAAGTGAGACAAGAATGGAGAAGCACCCGAGGACTTATGCCTGCTCTTCTGCATGATTGTAAAAGTTTCTTGTTCTGTTTTCCTGGCTCTGGTTTCTCACTCTTCCGGTGCCCATTGTGCACTCTAGTTGTCTCTTACTAACTCCCAAGGCTCTCTTTAGGCTGACTCCCATCCCTCCAACCTAATTTGTTTCACTTCACCAATGTAAACTGTCAACTGCCCTTTGGCTCTTAATGTCTCAGGAAGGTGTGCTCAGTCCCCGTGTGTCTTTATTCTCCCTGCCGATGGTGTCCTACTGTTTCCCTAATTCTCTGCACAATTTCATGCATTCTTCATGACCGAGTGTCAGACTCACCTTCAAAGATCTTCTGACAGTACTATCTCTGAAGAGTTCCCTTGAACTAAAAACACTAGAGAGAAGAGCTCAGTTTTACTGAGTGAGTTCCAATCTCACCACTCTCTCAGCCAGCATAACATTTCCTCAGCGTATCTGTGATTAAATACCAATTTGACATCTTAGCTTCCTCTCCCATTATATTCTTTCACACTAGACACTGTTCTCCCAGAAAATGCATTTTCCTCATCTGCGCTTTGATTTGTGCCATTTGCTTAGACCACGGGAGTGTTAAGCTAATGTTTCTTGAGTCCTTACTCTATGCTAGGAACTAGGCTAAAGATTTTTAAAATTTTTTTAATTTGTTAATTACGGTATTTATTTCTTTCTTTATTTTTTCTTTAGTTGGAGTCTGACTCCATTGCCCAGGCTGGAATGCAGTGGCATGCTCACGGCCACCCTAGCGTCAACCTGCAGGGCTCTGGGGATCCTTCTGTCTCAGCCTTCCAAGTAGCCGGAACTACTGGCATGAGAAACCATGCCCGGCTAATTTTTCTTTATTTATTGTAGAGACCAGGTCCCACCAAGTTACCCAGGCTGGTCTCAAACCCCTGGACTCAGGCAATCCTCTTGCCTCGGCCTCCCAAAGTTCTGGGATTACCAGCTGAGCCACCGAGACTGGCCTGGGCTGAAGATTTTACTGAAATGTGTCATCAAGCTCCAATGATGATGCTATGGGCCAGTACTATTACCTTTCCAAATAATAGTAAGTGAAATGAGAAAACTCAGCCATATGAGGCTTAGTAACATACCTCCTAAATTGCCAATCCATTCTGTAAAGCACTATATTGTTGCTCTTTGAGCATCATTTCAAATCCAGGGAAATATCAACAGAACACATTTTGATGAATATGATTTAAATTTGGATATGCCAGGTGCAGTGGCTCAAACCTATAATTCCAGCACTTTGGGAGGCTGAGGTGAGAGGATTGCCTGAGCCCGCAGGTTCAAGACCAGCCTGGGCAGCTTGGCGAGACATCATCTCTACAATAAATCAAAAAATTAGCCTGACGTGGTAGCGCATGCCTGTAGTTCCTGCTACTTGGAAGGCTGAGGTGGAAGGATCACTTGAGCCCAGCAGGTCGATGCTGGGGTGGCATGAGCATGCCACTGCACTCCAGCCTGGGCAACAAAGTAAGATTCCAACTCAAAAAAAGAGAGAGATGCTGTAAATTTTTTTGAAATATTCATTCTTTTTTTCCTGTATCAAAAACTGTGTTCATCTTGCAAGTGACCTTACTTAAATTTAAAGTCACCTAATACATAAATGACCTCCTCAGTCCCCGGGTGAGAATCTTGGCTTCATGCTCCACATCCCCAGTAGCTTCGCCGTGTGAGTCCATGGACAGGCAGGATAGGCATCACTTGGTGCTTGTTAGAAATGCAGACACTGGCTATGCGCTGAAACTACCCCCATCAAAATTTTCACTTCTCTGGGAGCAAGCCCTAGATGACTTATATACACTATAAAGTTTTTAGAGAAATGCACTAGATGCAAATTTCTTTCTGTATTTATTCACAACAACTAGTTATTACTTCTATTTTCCTGACATTTTCTAAACAAAAGAGCCAGTATGTTATTCATAATTGTGACTCAAAGTAGCTAGCATAATACTTCCTATATGGTTGACAATTGGTATATCTTTATTAAATGCATTTATTGAACTGAGAGCAAATTCCATAGATGTTACACCTTTATATCTCCCATAACTCATAGAAGCAACATTATTCTCTACACTATAAGTTCTGGGAATGTGGTTATTATGTCTATCTACTTCATACAGAGCCTAACTAACATGGAAGACACGTCAATGATAGAGTGAGGCACTCAGTAAATTAATTAAGATATATTGAAAAGAGTTTTCTAAAATATAATTTTATTGAGATGTAGATTTAATAAATACCTTAAGTACTTATGTGCCAAGGAGTGGCCTAAGTTCTTAACAAATAATAACTTATTCATGTTCTGAACTTTAATTGCTTGGTCAAGCATAAATCTAAGTTAACTCAATAAAAGTTGATTTGTGATAGCCCTGTAAATTCTAATACATATCATATCATATCTACTTTAGCTGTTTTTGTTGCAGGTGATTGATTGAGCCATAGTTGATATAAATGTCAGTATCTAAGCAGCTTTCTATTTTTTTTCCGTGATTTCAAAATTCTTCCAAATTATTTGGAAGTAAATTTTTTGTACATGATATGCTACTCCTGGTTAGTATTAAAGGAGAAGATACTTTGCTATTAAATACTTTCATAAAATTCATGTTCCATTTCAGAACAGAAATACCTTGGCAAATTCTGTCAGATTTTAGATTATGCTATGTTTGTTCTGTACATTGCTCATGTATGTACCCATGATTTTGCATTCAAAGGGAGGGAAGATCCCAATTCGGTGGACATCACCCGAGGCCATAGCCTACCGCAAGTTTACCTCAGCCAGCGATGTGTGGAGTTACGGGATTGTTCTCTGGGAGGTGATGTCTTACGGAGAGAGACCATACTGGGAGATGTCCAATCAGGATGTAAGTATTTGTAGTCTATGAGTTATGGGTCCAGATTAAAAGATCAAGCTGTGTAAGGAAGTGAAGCATAATGAAACCAGGTGGCTGCTAGTTTGTGACATTGAAATAGAATATTTAGCAGAAATGAAACTATTTCCAAGTCTTCCAAGGATATTAATTGAATTGCTCTTACATTACATATTTCCCTCAAGCATGGGTTTAGAAATGAGACAAAGTAAAACAGTTGTAATGAGAATATAATAAATGACTACCCAAAATCAATGTATTCTGATGCACATTAGAGTTTGAAAATCACTGCTTTACGTGATTAAAAAATAGTAATGAACCAATAGTTGCTTCATTGTAAAGCACGTAGGATTTTACCAAAAGAAGTTACTATAATTTGGAAGAGACCATTTGAACTGTGGTATAACCAAAATCCGTATACCGGTTTTCTCCACATTCATTCATATATTATTTTTTTCTCTACATTCATTTATATTTTTCATAGAATCCTATACAACCAAATAATATCTTTGTAATACGAAAGGTCTTATATCGTTGAACACTTCTTTTTATTTTAATCTAGAAAGATCTTTCCGAACTCCTCTTTCCTAAATTCACTTTCTCTTACTCTTCCTTTATATAACATTCGCAGGCATGCATAATTTTTTGTTCATTTGATCAGCTGTTATCCTTTTATACAGTTTAAAAAGAGAACTTTTTCACTTAACTTTAAAATATTCACATTAGTGCTCCCTGCCCAAGAAGAAGTAAAATAAGTCTCTCTCTCTTACATCCCCGAAAACTTTGCTTCTCCCACAGGTAATTAAAGCTGTGGATGAGGGCTATCGACTGCCACCCCCCATGGACTGCCCAGCTGCCTTGTATCAGCTGATGCTGGACTGCTGGCAGAAAGACAGAAACAACAGACCCAAGTTTGAGCAGATTGTTAGCATTCTGGACAAGCTTATCCGGAATCCCGGCAGCCTGAAGATCATCACCAGTGCGGCAGCAAGGTGACACGTTAGAGTTTATATCCTGCACTCACTCTGAAATTCATGTTTGCTCTCTTCAAGATGTTAATTTTTTTCTCCCATTCCCCAGAAACATTCTTTGAAACTGTTTTCTGCAAGACTAGAAAGATGTATTTTCTTTTTCTTTTTTTTAAATCTTTAGCAGAAAACCTCAGGCTACTTAATAGTAAGAATGAAATTCTAAGATATTTTTGATGTCCATCTTAACTCTTCATTCAGTTTTGTTTATGTTGGGAAACAAAACTGAACACATACCTTCTTTTCACCTTTCCTTATTTGTTTTTTGTTTGCTTGTTTGTTTGTTTGTTTGTTTGTTTGAGTTGGAATCTCACTCTGTCGCCATGCTGGAGTGCAGTGACATGATCACAATTCACCACACCCTCAACCTCTTGGGCTCAGGTGATCCTTCTGCCTTACCCTTTCAAGTAGGTGAGACTACAGGCACTCACCACCATACCCAGCTAATTATTTTTACTTTTTGTAGAGACAAGGACTTGCTGTGTTGCCCAGATAGGTCTCGAACTCCTGGGCTCAACCAGTCCTCTCACCTAGGCTTCCCAAAGTGCTGGGATTACTGGCGAGAGCTACAGTGCCAGGCCTTACTCTCCCTTATTAAAGAAGTCCTGATTCAGTGTTCATTTAATTAAAAATCTAACACATAGCACTGGCCAGCAAAATACAATTTCCCTCCACTTAACTAAACAAATATTTGTTTAATCCCTACTGGGTACCAATAACTCTACTAGACACTATGGAAGATAAAACTAAGAGTGAAATAAGGCCACCACCCCTGAACAACAACAGAAATGTCAATACATCATAGCTGTAGTGCAATTCAGGGTGCACAGTGTCCATTAAATTTTCTGCATATTCCTCTAGTTAAGAATCACTGAGTTCTCATGGTGCTTATGAGGAATGTAAATTACAGCGCATCTGCAATGTTCGGTGGACGAAATGGAGAAGGAGAGATGAATTATGTCAGGAGCCATATGAGAAGAAAATGAGTATTAATGTATTTGGTTCATCTTGGAGAAACTAAAGGCAAATCTATATTGTTTAATAATTTAGATTTCCATTGCGCACATAAGAAAAAAAACAGCTATTTTATATTTTGATGATGCATGCTTTTATAGCCTTTTAATTTTTCTTTCTGATATGTCAATGAGCTAGTACAACATATTTCGTACTTTTAAAATCATTCCTCCTGACAACTAGAGAGAGAAGCACTTCAGATCTATTTGGGACTTCTAGCTACATGTCCACTAACTCAATGGTTTGAAGACTAGTGATAATACCTTGATCTGCACAATGGAATTTTCTCATTAATGATTGATGACTTGTTGGTTAGACAACCTTCTTGGCAAAACCAGTTGCTTCTTGACTTCTATTCTTAATTGTGCTGTTTCTAGTTATCTTTAATAATATCCTGCCCTGTTGTTTCCATTGCTATGAAGTATTATGACTAAAACTGGCATTCAGTGCATGAGAAAGTCCTTGGTTTTCACCCTAAGTAGTCTGATGAAGCACTGTGTGAGTGTTTGTGTGTATGTGTTTGTGAATATATAGATACATAAAAAGTTCGGTTAATTATGCTTTAGTTTCAGATTTTTTAAAAAGATCAGTAATATTTAATGCAATATTATAAGAAATCAAAATTAACGCCCCCAATCTATAATGAGTAAAATATCAAAAATTTAAACATACAAACATTTTATTTATCTATTCATCTGATGATGGATATGTTGATTCCACGTCTTGGTGATCATGAATAATGCTGCAAGGAACATGGATATATACATATCTCTCTGAAATACTGATTGCGCTTACTTTGGATATACACCCAGAAGTGGGATTACTGGATCATATGGTGGTACCATTTATAGTTTTTTGAGAAACCTCCATATTGTTTTCCATATGGCCATCCCAATTTACATTCTCAGTGTTCCCTTTTCTCCATATCCTCCCTAACACGTGTTATCTTTTGACTTTGTGATAATGACCTCATAGCAGGTGTGCAGGCCATCACTCATTGTGGTCTTGATTTGCATTAGTCTAATAATTGAACATTAGATATATGTAAAGATTATGTTGAACATCTTTATTTAGATTCACTGAGTATATGTACTTCTTCCTAGGAAAAATGTCTATTCAAGTTCTCTGTTCATTTTTTAATCAGTTTATATTTATATAGAGATCTAAAAATACATAAAGCACATAGAAATAAATAATAAAAACAGAAAATCAGATTACATTTATATAAACATATAGCATGTTTATATGTTTTAATTTTTGCTATTTTATTCATTGTGGATTGGAGGGATTATGTTTTATTTTTTATAATATTGCATTAAATATTACTGATTTTTTTAAAAATCTGATGCTAAAGCATAAGTAACTGAACTTTTTATGTTGTTTGTTCAGTTTGTTCGTTTTTTTGCTATCAAGTTCTTATGAGTTTTTTATTTTTTGAGTATTATCCCCTTATCAGTTATATTGTTTGTAAACATTCTTCCCTTCTGTAGATTGCCTTTTAATTTGTATTTTTTCACTTTTCTTTGTTGTGAGTCCATTTTTAGTTTGACCTAATCCCATTTGCTTCTTTTTGCTTTTGTTGCCTGTGATTTTGGAGTTGTATCTACAAAATTGTTGCCAGGACCAAAGTCATGGAGTTTCCTCCCTATACTCACTTCTAGGAGTTGTACAGTATTAAGTCTTAAGTTTATCCATTTGGGGTTGATTGTATTGAGTGCACATTATCCAGTTTTCACATTATAGTTGAAAAAGATAAATAAGGAGAGTCAGAACCAAAGTCTTAATATCAGTATATTTTATAATCATAGCTTATTCGTTGGCAATAACACTTAGGGGTCACAAAGATTGAATTTGGTAATAGATCCTTCAATAAAACTACCCATAACTTATCCCATAAGGATAAATCTCTATCCTAAACTTCACAGAGACTGTACAGTCTCTTTGAGAAACCCACCTGACAGTTTAACAACTAGCAGGATAACAAACCTGGGCCATAAGGTCCTCATTTTGTACTCTGAAGTCGTTTCTTTTGATCTTTACACAATAGTCATCATGGCAAAGAAAAACATCTTTTTCTATCATGAAAAAGACATTCAAACCATTTTCACAGGATAATATTATCAATATAAAGCTATGCCACATAGGCGTATTTAGCACCAGTTTTATGGAGGTACTAATCTTACTATCAGACCATAGTATGTCAGGATACGTCCTAGCATCTAAATTTTAATATATTTCATAATTCACCTTTTCATTTTTATTGAAATATATTAGCTATGTTTTCTTTTATGTATTCTTTGATATCCGAACAAGGTTAATGTATTTTGTCACAAAATATATATACAGGGTAAAAATAGGATTATTTTTTCTGTAAAGTGCAATGCATTATAATAACCAAATTTAAAAGCTTGGGTAATTATGTTTGTATTTTTATTTACTGCATTTAAACTACACAACAGATCGGATTATCTTATTATAAATTTATTATCAACAACCTCACATTACTATGCAACAATATAAAGACATTTCTTTCCCTTGAGAAAGTTTGCTTTTCTGCTTTAGACAATGATAACTTACCAAATGCACTCACCCCTTCAATTTTTCAGTGGTGTTCTTGCCAAATACCTCATTGCGAAAATATAGAGTTATTAGTTGGGAATGTCTAACAGCAGAAACAAAAATGTACTGGCACCTGTACCTACCCATAATGTCCTTCTTTCTTCTTACTGTAAGAGAATGTGTCCCTCTATCTGACCAAAGCAAATCCTCTACTTGTGCTCACTCTCTGTCTCCCTCTCACCTTCTCTCCCTCCTATATTTCCAGGAGATAAAACTGTTCAGGTCTATTCTGAGTTCCAGATATTCAGAATCTCTAGGAAAGTGAAATTTGGATGTTTGATGAAAATGCCAGGTGATTTTTCTCACCAAGGAATTGAGGGGATAGTGCTTATCAATCACAACTCTGCAGGCCACATATCTCTGCCAACAACTTCCTGTTTCTCTGACACTCTCCACAGCCAGACTTCTCAAATAATGAACTCTCAGTCTTATAAGCTCAATATTCTGAAAATGTGTCTTTCTGTTTTCTCCTGCTAGCCTGATCCTTCCACTGCCTTCCTAAGTAAGTTGAATATACCAGCACCTACTCATCTGTACAACCAAGAACTGGGGCAACTCTTGGCCCCTCTTCATGGCTCTCCACACTTTGATCCAGATGGTCACTGGATCAATGTGACTCATCTCTCCTTTTCACTGCAAACATTATCTTTTGTGGCTGTTTCTCTTTCTCACCTGGACCACTGCAATAGCCTCCTAACTTGTCCCCTACTTCCAATGTCATCCGACTCCAAACAAACTCCTTCAGAGTCTTTTTATCAAAACTTATATGGTGTAATTTTAGCCACGTGTTTTTATCTGATTTTGAATTCCCATTACACTTAAGAAACCATCTAGTCTCCTTTTAATGGTTCAAAAGCCCTGCGTCTCCAGTTTTATTTGTTTAATTAATATTTGTTTTATTTAAATAGCCATTTATTAATTTTTTCCATCAAGTATTTATTATTTGCCAATCTGTCTTGTGCAAGGCACTGTGTAGATTCTGGAGAACAATGAAGGAGACAAATACGGTTCCTGCCATCTTGGAGCTTTCATTGTAGAAGATGCACAGTAAACAATAGACAACTACAGGCTAGCAGAAAGAAATAAGTAGATGGTTAGATGGACAACAAAGGAATAGTTGAGAGAGTGCCTTCTGGGCGGGTGATATTTGAGAGACCTGAGGAAAGGAAAGAGCCAGCTGTATAAAGGCCATCCCGCCCCCTCACCCAACAAAAATATTCTTGGCATAGGATAAAAACCTGCAAATGTCTGGAGATGAGAAAGAGTTTGGAGCATTCTAGGAAGTGGCAGAGGATAAAGTGACTGAAGGAAGAGTCTGTCATGAGTCTAAG